TCTTTCTTCGCTCGAACCAGATGAGTCACCGTCTTCTAACGTTGGTAATGAATTCAACTTGCTCGTCACTTCATCCTGTTGTTTTAGGATTTTCTCCATCGTTGCCAGGATCGATTGTATAATATCCGTGTTTCGTTAATTCGTACAAATTAACTTAAGTGAATTTTTGGTAGAATTGTGCATAACATGTTTGTATCTTATGTTTAACCAACTTGTATCTCAGACTAATTTTGTGACAAAAGTTGAGTTTATACCTATATTGACATAAAGTTGAAAATCTAACTTGAAGGATTAAAACCGCCAAATAGTTAAACTTTATATATATATATATATATATATATACACATATATATATATATATATAATTAAAGAAAAAGAAAAAAAACATTTTATATATATATATGTGTGTGTGTGCGCGTGCGCGCTATGGGAAGGCGGTGATGAACCGCCAAGTTTCGTCATCTCACTCATTCAATTCTTTCTCTTTAAAACTCTTGTCTTTTCTTTAAATTTCACGTCAAGTTATTAAGGAGATCGATGTAACAAATATATATTCTGAATCCACTCTCTGAACCCTTCTTAAAGGTATAAATTTCGTTCAATTTTATTAAGGTGTTTATGTTAGGGTTCTTAAGACCGGTTTATAAATTGTGTTTATATCTAAGTTTACGGATTGATGTTGTTAAAATTATATTATATTTGATGCTTAGAATGCTAAGATTGTTTAAATTGATGTAGAAATTAAAAAGGTATATTATAGTTCAATATGGTTAGATTGTGGGTATATGTTTAACCGCATATCAATTGTTCGGTTAAATGTCGAAAAGAGTAAAAATGCATGATTAAGCTTAGGTTAGCAACCATTAGACTTGTTTTACTGTTTAATATGTTGAAGTATGTTCATAGCATGTAAATGTAGCGAATAATGAAAGTTGGATCATAAAAGTTAGTCGGGAATTACGGAATCGAATTTTACCAACAATGCAACTCCTGTACTTTAGCAGTGTATAACTCACAAACCGTATATTGGAATAAGCTCGTATTTTGCAGTCAGAAAGATTTTACTGTATACTACAACTTTTATGAAGAGTCAAAAATCCAGTTATGACTCTAGGTGGCTCGAAACAGTGTGTTTTTGGGGCTGTTTACACTGTAATCGGGATTAATTTACAGTTTTGTAAAATTCATATAAAATAGATGAATGATCAAATGAGATGATTTCAAAAGCAACAGACTCGTATGATACCAATCTACAACTTTCATTTAGACATATAATCTGGATTGGTCTCTAAGTAGGGTAAAATTTCTTAGAAATAAGATGGACGGAAGCGATTGGATTGAAAGAGAATAAGGCTAAGTTTTACGTTTGAGTTTTCAATTCGTATCCAGCTGTCCTTCTTGAAGTCTACGTTGTTTAAGTACATTAAGACCTAAGTAATTTTATTATGTTACGGTTTTTATGCTTTGTAAATAGTAACCGGTTATGCATTCGTTAGGCACACGGGCAAATCAAACTTGATCGTGAATTTCCGTTTGATCGTGCGTTAATTGTCAAATTCGGTTAAGGTACAGATTTCATATCTCACTTGACACGAGGATAACCATTTGTATAAGGCTTTCTAATCCGAATATATTGGTTCCAAATTCTCATTATGCTAATCAATTGCTATTGAGCTTTTGTTTCATTTCGAAATATGATGTACGTTCTTATTTGGATCACTTGACTAGTTTGATTACTTCATTTGTGAAACATTTTATTATAGACTCAATAACTGGAGCACGGGTATTGAGATGTTTCCATGGTGGCTAAAACGATCATGGCGTCCTCATTTTTATAGTCTTTAAAGGTGGACTTGATTATGTACTGATCGAATAAAGGGCATATGGATCGATCCTAGGAATTGTTATCGGATAATGAATTGTGGTCGTGGTTAAATCCATGGAGAGGATTGTTGTGTTGTGCTCACACCCCTTTCCTCACTTATGCCTGAATGGACTGATCATCCTTTGAGAACAACGCGTCCTCGTGATGCGGTTTGGTCTTCGGACCCTTGACATGCTTTTGGGGCATTTTGACTTTCTTTTGGATTATCACTTGGCTTTATAAATTGTTCATGAACTTGTTATCTCATATTCATTATTTAGTTATATTATTATCCGTTCACTGAGCATTAAGCTTAGCCGAGATTTTCTTGTCCTCGGCAGGTACATGACKTAGCAGGGATTTTGGGGTGAGAGCTACAGAGATGACAATATTGAAGATAACCCATTAAGTCATACCTTTGCTAACTTTTGATGACTAGTGTAAACATACTGGTATTTTGGGACCGTATTTTAAGACATGTTATCTGCATCTATGGTTATGTAATTATCTTTTGGTAAATTTTATTAGCTGCTCTGTTTTATGTAATGCGTTGTTTTTTTTTTAAAACCACTTGTGGCATCTCCCATCTTTGACCACGCGGGACGGGGGTGTTACAGATTGCATCCTTTGTCGATCGAACCAACATTGCTTTCCAATTCGTCAACTCGTGTTGCCACGCTTCGAGTCCCCATCCCTGAATCGTTGCTGCTCTGATACCAATTTCCTGTAAAATGGTGTCGTTTGATTGAGTTCAAATTGAAATTACAGAGAAAGTAATACTCCTATGGCTTTTGAGAGGCCCATGTCTCTCCAAGAGCCTAAGCTCGATTTACAATCACTCAAAAACCGAATGCCTAACAGAAAACGCTCCCACCAACAAATAATGGATCTCGCTCCTTATTCCAAAAGGGAAAACCCCAAAATGCCCTTATACTATTATACCCACCAGCTACTAACAAAATAAAGGATTCCCCCTAATTAACCCTTCTCTTATACGTGAAATGTATAGGAGGTTTACCAGTTAGTTGGTTGGGCGTCAAGATGTCCAATGTGTGCTTATCCTTTGTTTTTCTTGTTGAACGTTTTGTGATATTTGGTTGTCATTTTGTTTCAAATGCCCACACAAACATCATGGATTTTTTGGGGGCATTTTTCAGCCTTTCTGTCTTAAGCATCAGAAACTCCAGGACCGTCCCTGTGTTACTGTGCACAAGCTCTTCTTTTATGAAAGCATGAAGAGAAACCAATTTTTTTTGATGATTTACAAGAAGCATTACCTAGAAAGAACAATGGTATTTGATTCTTTCTTTTGGACGATAAATGCATACTCTTGTATGTCTTGAATGGCATGACCTCAGAAGTTGGAACACTAGGGTTGTTCGGTTCGTTTTCTGTTAATATCTGTATGGATATAGTTGTCTGTATATTAACATTGTTTGTTTGTTATGACGAATAATAGTCCGAATGTCAGAAAATGACCATTTTGCCCCCAATATTTATTTTTGTCCGAATAAAACAATAGTTTGATGAAAATGTTTTCCAAATTTGTGTATCCATACTATATTATAAAACATTTGACAAAACTCTTAAAACCCAATTTTTATGCGTAAAGTACTGTTTATTAATGTATATTACTTAAAACTCAAGATTGCAATTAGATTGTGCGTAAGTACAACTTAATAAAGCTCCATATCTGAATTTGTATAACTAACTGCAGATATACATAATCAAATGCAGGATAAACATCTCATTTTAAAAATAAAAAATCTAAAATATAATTAGGATAATAATTGAATTCTAACAGAATACTTAATTATCATCTTTATAATATTTACTAGAAGGGTACTTGTGCAATGCAGCGAGATATATCTTGATTTTAATGTTTCGTTTTATATTATAGGTTTTTTAATGTTATAATGCAATTTTATGTGGTTTTGAGAAACATAAAATAGTTTATTTTTGAATGAAATATAAATTTGAAGATATCATTAAATTTTGATATAAATAAACAATATTAGTATCAAATTAACTATTTAAAACTTCTATTTTTGTGTAAGTTTCTTTAATTCAATTTTTTTATTATAATTTAATTGAATTTTAAAAACAAAGTAATTTATTTTTGATTTAATAAAATAATTTTTTAAGATAACAATTAAGTATTCTGTTAGAACCTAATAATTATCTTAATTATATTTTAGATTTTTTATATTTAAAATGATGTTTATCATGTATTTGATTATGTTTATCTGCATTTAGTTATGCAAATTCAGACATGAAGCTTTAATAAGTTGTACTTACGCACAATCAACTTGTAATCTTGACTTTTAAGTAATATGTATCAATAAACAATACTTTATACATAAAATATTGTTTTTAGGAGTTTTTGTCAAATGCTTTATAATATAGTATAGATAATATTAAACCAAAAATAAATTATTTCATTATTAAAATTAAATTAAATTATAATAAAAATAAATTAAAGAAATTACATAAAAAATGAGAACTTTTAAATATTTGATTTGATATTAACATCTATATATATTTTTTCAAAATTTTATGATATCTTCAAATTTATATTTTATTAAAAATAAAATCATTATTGTTTTCTTGAAAATACATAATCTATACTATATCATAAAGCATTGACAAAAACTTTTATAAACCATTTTTTAGTGTAAAGTATTGTTTATTAATGTATATTACTTACAACCCAAGATTGTAAGTATATTGTGCGTAAGTACAACTTATTAAAGCTCTATATTTGAACTCGTGTAACTAACTGCGGATAAACATAATCAAATACAGGATAAATATCTCATTTTAAATATAAAAAATGTAAAATATAATTAAGATAATTATTGAGTTCTAACATAATATTGAATTATTATCTTTATATTTTATTCAAAAATAAAATTATTATTGTTTTTTAAAAACACATAAAATCGTATTATAAAATCGACAAAGACAAATAATAAAATAGAACATTAATATCGAGATATGTCTCACTACATTGCATGATTATTCTTTTAGCAATAAAAAATCAATTACAAGGTAAAAGCAACCAGATTGGAGAAAATGGAAGGAATTAAAACGATATTGTAAAAACCTAAAACTTCGTGGGTCAGAATTGAGATTTTGACCCAAACGGGTATTTTTCCCTTCCTTAAACCCTAGACTCCCACAACTCGCATATCTGTCTCTCCCCTCTCGCTAAGGTGGAAACTTTCGAAATCAAGATCAAGGAACAGGTAATCTCGTATGTTGTTTTTCTTTGAAAATTTGATTAATTTATAGTTTTGCTGATGGAGTAAACCCAGTTCGAGATATGGAGGACGAGGGATAGAGAGAGATCGAGAGATGGAAGGGAGGAGCAAGGAGCTACAAAACCATCATCTTCTTCTTCAAGGAGGCACGCCTGAGGAAGGAGAAGGGAGGCACGCGTGAGGAAGTAGAGTTGGGATTAGATTGGAGAGATACCATGAGAAGGGACTAGGTTTCCAAGACTCATCTTGTAGCCCTAGGATCTTGAATCAACAATTAAATTCGGCCCTTGCTTCTTCCGATAGATTTTAGGTGATATCTTTCGTCATCTTTAAAAGGCATTAGGGCTTTGGATTTGCACATAGAAGCAAAAAAAAAACAAATGAGGGGTCAACAGATCAAAGAATGTAACCACTAGGGTGGTAGCTTGGTGGATAAAGACAAGGGGATGATAATATCAATCTGGGTTCAAATTCTGTCATCTACATATGCGCTTGTGGCCACTGGGAGATTTACCTCAGGACTTTGGGTGAAGCCTACAGTATCCATATTTCATGGGATTAGTCTTGGTGAAGCCTGGAATCACCCATTTTGAAAGAAAAAAAAACAGATCAAAGAATGTAGTCTTACTAATTTGAGCTCAAGACCTTTAGGTTATCTTGATGAGTCCCAGCCACTTGGACAAAGCCAACACGTACCGCAAATAATGGGCAAATTTTCTTGTTTTAAGGCAATGTGAATTTCCTGTTAACTTAATCTAGGTTGCAGATGAATTTGTCATAGGAACTTGACTAAGAAAGCTAGTATATGATGGGGAAATTAAGAAACCACATTCATGGAAGTACAAAACCAACAGCTATAGAGTGTGATATAAGCTTCCAAAACTCTCCAATTCAATGGGACACTGAAATATAAGTTACGGTTATTATTAGAGAAGAATAAGCATATATTCATTTGGGTTATAATATAGACAACCATATTATGTAAAAGATTGTAATTTTGCCATTCGCTAAACAGTTAAACTATCGTTACCTTTCTTCTCTCTGGGCCAGAATAGTTTGTGTTCATCTTTATCCTATATCTTATCAGGTTAGTTCTTTTCATCTGAGCCAAGGTGCAGCAAAGATGGTTAACCCACACTTTGATGATACTATTAAGGTGGTTGGGGTGGATGCAGATGGTAAAAAGTATGACAAAGGTATAATCATTGCTCATTGAAACTCAGTGTGATTAATTATTTGCTTACCCAATGCTAGCATTATATATGAAATTCTTCTCTGTTATAAGAATTGAATATGTCGCCAACTGCGTTCTCATTTGAACCATTTGCATATTTGTTCATTGGACCATCATCACTTGGCATATTGTGTTACAAATCTTGCTTGAGTCAAAGAATGCATAATATGCTAAATTTTCTTTGGGTAACATTTTATTTCATTTCGTTGTATTATCATTGTTTCTGAAATATCATTCGCAGTTCTTTATTTTAGCTATTACTTGTTCAGATTTCAAACAAGCATCTTGTTTCTTCGGTTATGCATCTGCACCTGTCTCAGGTGTTGTTTGTTTGTTTTATTATTAAGCCATGTATGAACTAAACTAAACTGTTGAATAAACTGTCTAAATGATACAAGTTGTTGAATAAACTGTCTGAATGATATAAGTGACCATTTTACTGCTTACTAATACTGATCTAATAATCGTGCATGCTACTTTCAGTTTCACGTGTTCAAGCACGAGGGGAGGAATCCGACATGCACATTGTGCTGGACGTGAACTCACAGTTGTACCCTATGCATGCCGGAGAGAAGTATAGGATGGTCTTGTCTCAAACTTTAAATGAGGATGGCTCAGCCGTTACCAACAATTCTGGGGTATGTAATGCCGTTTGTAATGGTTTTCGGTCAGGGTTTTGTAGTGTTAGATATAAATAAACTGGGTGTACTCAAATGTGATTACAGGGAAGCAAGAAATCACTTGCTGACAGATTTGAGTATGTGATGCATGGACTATTATACAAGATCGCAGACGATAAGAACCAAAGTGGTGATGTTGAAGTGTAAGTATCTTATTGTAATGTTGAAGTGTAAGTATATGTATATATATTTTGTATATATGTATATCTGCATGTTTAAGTTTCTCCAAACCCCTAATAATCAACTTTCTTGACACCTTCTATGATTACAAGGCTTTTGGACAAAATTGGTTTGAAAATCAAACCTACTACTCATCCACATTTGAAATGTACATCCTTTCTCTCTTTTAACTCAAATTTAAACCAAATGAAACAAGCCCAATATGTCCCACATGGGGTAGGGTCTCGGGGTGGGATGTACTCAAACCTAACCTTTATTCGAAGAATAAAACGGTTGTTTCCGTGATTGATTGAGAACCTCTTTTCATATATATATGTGTGTGTGTGTGTCTCTCTCTCTCTTTCTCTCTCTCTCTCTCTCTATATATATATATATATATATATATATATAGATATTAGTCTAATTATCTATTCTGGCTCTGTATTCAAAATGTTTTGATCCATTTGACTAATGAAGTAAAAGTGGACTTTGCTTTTGGGATCATAGAACCGTTTGTTTTTGCTACTGATTATGGTGGCCATGTTGTGTTTGTGGATACAGGGCTGTATACATATCATTTGGAGGGCTTCAACTTCTGATGAAGGGTGCTCCCGCAAAGATGGGTAAATTTAAGGTTGATCAAAGGCTGTTTCTTCTGCTGCTGAAAGAGTAATCAAATTAAGCTTAGTTGCTTGCTTGTTTATGGATGCTATTTCTATTTCTCGTGAACTTTGTTCAAACCCTGTGATTAACATGTTGTCACTCGGTAGATTAACCGGTGGTTTTTTCAGTTAAATCTCGCCTACGGTGTTAACTCTTGGTCCCATAAAGTTTGTGTACATGAACTCCTACTAAAAAAAGCTGCGCCTTCTCGATATTTGTGTTCTGAACGCTGAAATCAAATAGAGCGAAACTCGTTGAATGGACCTGATCTTGCAAATTTTCACTCCACCCAGCAACGAGGAGTACAGTAAACAGAAAATGCACCAAAGAAGAAAGAAAACGCAATACTGACAACTATTGGTATAAGAAGAAAAACGGCATACAACTAACAGGTCATACATATGACTGTACATGTCATTGAATCAAACCGTTAAATACTAAATTGGTTAAAACTACGCAAGATACGCCTATGGCCGAAAAGAGATTGATTTGTCATGCGGAATGTATTTAAAACACGAACAAACGATTGAAAACAAATAACTGCAAACACCCAACACTTATTACGCAAACGTCCAAAATCGTGATAACTATCAACTACCCGAAGAAAACGAACTTGAAATCTTCGGCCTCCTCTACCTCGGATAAACCTTCTTTTTCTTCACATGACAGTTACAGTTGTTTAAGCTCGATACACACCCGAGCTTCCGCTTCATCTCCATCCAAACGTTCGATTTCTCCTTCGTTTTTCTGCAATAACCTCTTTGGATCTCCTTCCTCATGACAAGACATTCTTTCTCCAACTCCACTACTTTACAACTCATTCTCTCCAGTTCTACTTTCACTTCCTCCTCCTCATCGTCTTCTTCGTCTTCTATTGACTTTGACTTTTTTGTACCGTCCTCGGCGGCGGCGGCCGCCACCACCTCCTTCGTGATCGTTTCCCGCAGCTGCAACTGTCCCACAAACAACACCTGAACCACCACACGGACCGGCAGCCGGTCGTTTTGTGCTGCGTGCTCGCAGGCCTTTGGTGACAGCTTGTTGCAATCCAAAACCCCACAAATCGTTTCTCGTTCGGATTCTGTTAAGTACCCGTGTTTGTTTAAGTAGATGTCGATCGCTTTATATATACCATCTGAGCTTCTCTCTATTCCTCCGGATACAGCATTAGACATTTCGGCAAGCGAAATAAAGGAGTCTTTTTTCAGATCAACGTCACTCGCTACTTCCCCAAGGAAATCCTCGACGAGATCAGCCACGATGACGAGCCTGGATTGATCGTGGTCGGTGAAATTGGAGTAGAAATGCTTCAAGATTCTTCGAAAACACCCGGTATCATACTTTTCTTCTTTAGAATAACCTTGAGATGGTATTAGCAAGTCGTTAACCGTTGCCAAATCTAATTGTCTCCCGATCCTCACCTCGAACCCTTCTGTGCAGCCTGCATTAGCTTCTAAAACCATTGCGTATTGAAGCATTTCGCATAGTAACGCACACGGAAGGAGCCCTCGATCATGGGGCAAAAGTCTTTCGATAGCTTCAATCGTGTCTTTTCTCGAGTTTGAACAAACACCTTCAGAAGACGACGATTCTTCATCTGTTTCTTTTGGTTCAAAAAACACCCATTTTTTCGCATACTGATATAGAGATGAGGCAATGTAGTTCGAACCCACTTTACATTGAATCATCCCTCGAATTATAAGCTCGTAAAACTGAAGATGAAGTGAGGTCAAACTCAAATCCTCCGACTTTTTCCAATCAAGAACAAAGAGCTTCCGCCTAGCATTTGGCTTGAAAACATTGCCATTGAACTCATCACTATCATCGTCTTCATCATCAAGAGCGGGATTCTTGATTCGTTCTCCGATTAGAAGCGGATTATCAATAGCTTTCGAGATGATTGAATCCACACAAGCATCAATCAAACCGAGTTTTGCTGCTTGTTGAAGAACGACCGGATTCTCAGCAGCTTTTAACGATCTTAGTGATTCATTCCAGCTGGTGATGATTTCGTGTTCATAGAAATATAGAGCCTCATTCAAGAGATTTTTTGGGCTGTGGGTTTCTGTCATGCCCAAATAACAAGCCAAACAAGAAATTGGGATGATGTTTTCTGGGGTGAAATTGACGTTAAAACCATAGCAGAATCTTGCAATTAGCTCAAAAATTTCAGGGGTAGTAGGGATATCACAAAGAAGATGAGAAAGATCTTCATCAGGATTTTCTTTAAACAACCTGCAAAGTTTTGATGATCTTGCAGCAAGAAGATCCTGCAGTAGATCAAGGCAATAATAGTTCATGAAAATGTACAGTTTGACTTTCTTTAGGTCAAAATAAGTAGTTCATTACTCTTGAGATCTCTGTCAATTTGTGAACTGGATTTCAATTTTCTTGAAAATGGACTAAAAATTCTGTCATGGGTTGGTGTTGGATGCTATAAATCACAGAACTTAATCTGGATTTTAAATGAGAAATTGATACAATTGACCTCAAAAGTCAAAACATGCAAGATTTGACTATATGCAAAGCTGGTGGATTACCCTGTTCAAATTGAATGGTACTCCGCATATCACAAACTGAACATCCTTCGAAAACGAATATCTCGACATCTCCTGTAAATCATTTATACAAGAAACGATTAATTTCTAAAAGGGTTTTCATTTCTGCCAAAAAAATGCAGTCTTTAAACACCAAAAACGTCAAGATCCCATGATGGAATCCCTTGTAAAAACCCAGAAACCACGAGAAAGCAACGAGCTTCATGCATCACGACTTTTGAAATCCAATTGTGTACCAGAAACAACATCAAAGACTCGAAAAAGATTGTGATTCCATTAATGAAGATGTTTGGATTACCAAAAGAAAACTTACTGATTCAGTTATGGGAAAGAAACTCCAATGAGTAGCTGTCTGTTTTCTTATTTGAAATCAAAGAGATGATGATGGTGGTGATGGTGATGAACAGTGATTCATGGTGGTTTCTAAAATCGACGTGGGGTTAAAAGGGTCATCCAATCAGTATAGTATTAGGAGGGTTGATCAGATTTTATGAGGATTTTAGGGTAAGTTGTTAGTTACATCTGAAGTAAGACCATTTCAAATTTTAGAAGAGTATGGCAGCCACATGATGGCTGGTTTTTCGCTTTTCTTTTTGGACTTCTTTTTTATTATATTATTACCGTAATATTGCCATTGTAAAAAAAAAAAAATTGCTGCTATTTAACCATAAATGCTCACCTTACAAGGTTTATTGTAAAGGACTTAGAATGTAATGTGTTTTAGTATCAAATTAACTATTTAAAATTTCTTATTTTTTGTGTAATTTTTTAATTCAATTTTTTATAATTTAATTTAGGTATAATAACGAAGTAATTTATATTTGGTTTAATAATATAATTTTCGTATAAAGATAATAATTAATTATTTTGTTAGAACTCGATAATTATCTTAATTATATTTTAGATTTTTTATATTTTAAAATAAGATGTTTATCTTCAATTTAATTATGTTTATCCGTAATTAGTTATACGAATTCAAACATAGAGCTTTAATAAGTTGTATTTTTGCATAATTTACTTGTAATCTTGAGTTTTAATTACACATTGGTTTTATGTGGTTTTGAGAAAGTAATAATGTTTTTATTTTTGAATAAAATATAAATTTAAAAATATCATAAAATTTTGAAAAAAAAAATATCGATATCAGTATTAAATTAATCCTTTTTAAAAGTTTTTGTATTTTGGTGTAATTTCCTTAATTAAATTTTTTTAATTGTAATTTAATTTAGGTTTAGTAACAAAGAAATTTAATTTAGGTTTAATCATATAATTTTTTATAAAAATAATAACCAAGGGGGTGTTTGGGATTGCTTATCAAAACGACTTATTGACTTATTTCAGTCTGGCACCGGAGATAAGCCATTTTGGAGTGTTTGGGTAAAAAAAAAAACTGCTTATACCGGTACCAAACCGGTAATAAGTCGTTTTTGATAAGTTAATCCATAGGGACTTATGAAAATTGACTTATTACCGATTTACCATTTTAACCCTGTCTAAACACCCCCTAATCGATCACGTCTTCTCCAAAATCGATCAGATCTCCAGGTACGTCTTCTCCAAAATCGTGTTCTTCTCCAGGTACGATTTCTACAACCATGGAACTCGATTT